ATCTGCTTGTATCTGCCAGCTGCCTGCCACTTTCTGCCATGAATAGAAGCAGCCTGAGGCCTATGCCAGATGCAGCTGTCCCAGAATTGTAAGCCAAATTAACTTCTGTTCTTTATAAATTACCCAGTCTTGCGTATTTCTGTTATAGCAACACAAAACGGACTAATATATGTATATACTAACCAATAGAAAAACTGATGTAATAATTAGGGGGCTGTCCTCTTCTCTTGATTCTATCCCCTTTGTGTGATTATAAAATGCTGAGCTCTGCTACGCACCTTTGGAGCACATTTCTCAGGGTGACCTGACCTATGTGTTTCCTGGCTGCAGTTGTCATATTGGCTCAATAAACAATGCTTATATGTTTGGCCTCAGTTTCTTTTATGTCATTACCAGTTTTATGATTTTTTTTTTTATAGCAGCCCTAACAGACTAAGACAGGGTATTAGTCTGCTTTTGTGAGTACCTGAGACTGGGTAATTTATAAAGAAAAGAGGTTTATTTGACTCACAATTTTGGAGCAGCTGCATGTGGCATGGGCCTCAGGCTACTTCTACTCATGGCAGAAAGTGGAATGGCAGCCAGTGTGTGCATAGAGATAACATGGTGAAAGAGGAAGCAAGAGAGGAGGTGCCAGGCTCTTTTTAACAACCAGCTCTTGCAGGAACTAATCGAGAACTCACTCATTAATCCCACCTAGGGAGAGCATTAATCCATTCATGTGGGATCTGCCCCCATGAGTCAATCAATTTCCAACACTGCCACATTGGGGATCAAATTTCCACATGAGTTTTGGAGGGGACAACACATCCAAACTCCACCAATACACATAGATTTTGGGTTGTTACTAGGTTACATCCTACATGTAGGAATCCAGGGTTAGTTACAAGAAGCATTCTAGGTTATTTTATTACTTTTTCTGGCACCAGTATGTCTGGATTCTAGTTAAAATAGTCTTATGATAAAATTTTCCAGGACATGCGGACATGACTGCTGACTTACCCAAATTTCCCAAGGCACAATTTAGCTGATTTGATCGGAGCAGATTTCTTAAGTTTACCACAGGTAGCTTATAAACAAAAGAAATTTTTTTCTTAGGGCTGGAAAGTCTAGCAGATTTGGTGTCTGGTGAGTGCCCACTTTCTCATAGATGCCATCTTCTAGCTATGTCCACACATGGTGGAAGAGGCAACAAGATCCCTTGGGCCCCCTTTATAAGGACACTAATCCCATTTATGAGTACTGTACTCATGATCCAGTAACCCCAGAAAGGTCTGTCTCAGTACCATCACCATGGGGGTCAGGATTTCAACATATGAATTCAGGGAGGCAGAAACATTTTGACCACAGCACGAACTTTGCAGACAAGATCTTACCTGCATCTATCTTCCTCCAGGAACATGAGTATGACATTACAGTAGTCCCCCCTTATCCAAGGTTTCACTTTTTATGGTTTTAGTTACCTACAGCCAATCACAGTTCAAAAATATTAAATAAAACATTCCATTCCAGAAATAAACAATTCATAAGTTTTAAATCATGCACCATTCTGAGTAGCAGGACGAAATCTTGAGCCATCTTGCCCAGGATGTGAATCATCCCTTTGTCCAGCATATCCACGCTGTATACACTACCTGCCTGTTAGTCACTTAGTAGCCATCTCAGCTCTTAGATCAACTGTCATGGTACCTATCACACTGCTTAAGTTCAAGTAAACCTTATTTTACTTAATAATGGTCCCAAAGTGCAAGAATAGTGATGCAGGCATATTGTCCTATTTTATTATTAGTTATTGTTAATCTCTTGTGTGTGTAAATTATCATAAATTTAATCATAGGTATGTATAGAAAAAAACAGTATATGTAGGGTTTGGTACTATCCACAGTTTCAGGCATCCACCAGGGGTCTTGGGACATATACTCCAGGGATAAGGGGAGACTATTGTACATTAATGACATCGTCCTTCTAGGAGATTAATTTGACACACTCGTTACAGACACACAAGTCCAACATCTTTTAGACCTTTTTAGGTTCTGGTAGCAACATATTCCTCATTTATAAATTTTACTTCATCTAGCTAATGCTGCTACTTACAAATCAGCCCACTTGAAATGGGGCTTCCTCTGACAAAAGACTCTAAAATCTGTCCAAATTAAAGTCAACAAGGCACTGCTGTTAGTGCCTTCAGACTTCTTCACTGTAGAGGCTTTGGTAACCTCTTAGACCTCCTGGAGCCTCTGGACTAAGGTCAACGGTTCGGCCCATACTGGCCAGCCACCAAAATAATAATAATAATAATAATAATAATTAATAATAATAATAATAATAAAAGGTCCATAAGTTGTTCAAGGGCTTCTGATGCAAGAAACTGTTCCTCTTGGCCTTGTGCTATACATCATTAAAACAACCAGTGACTGGCTTTCCTGGAAATAGAGGCTCTAGAGAACCTGAGCCTGTGACACCCCATATTTAGCTGCCCTTTATGCTTTGGGTAATGGAAACAGTGCCTCACAAGCTCAGCACAGCTACTGAGGCCTCCTTAGGATGAAGAAAATCTGGGTCTTCATTCCACATGCAGGAGGGGATGGTCTCCCCTATCCTCAGTCCTTTGCCAGATGCCATGGTATTGGAGGAAATCTCCCCTCTCCCAGACTCCTTGACTACCTAGGGAGTCTCTTTGAAGTCACAGAGTAAACAGCAATGGGGATTCAGACTATGCAAATGACACTACCAACCATCATAAATGACGGAGCTCAGTGGAATGTTGCTACTTTCCATCCCTTAGCCAGGATGCCCCTGATAAATAAATGATGGGAACCAAGGGACAACACACTTGGCAGTCAACTTCAGGCAGTCACTTTAGCATTGAATGCCCTGGACAACAAGAGGCCCTATCTTTACATTGCCTAAAAATGTCCTCTTCAGAGTAAAAAAAAAGTCTGGAAATCTCTTGCCTCGTAGATACCCAAGATATAAATAAAGATTATACATGTCTCTACATATACCAAGGCCGCAACGTAAGCCTTGCCAGGACACCCCTTATTTTCTTTAGTTATAGATGTTACTGATAGTAACCAAGACACACATATCACTTCTTAGAATTACACAGTGCTGGGCTCTTGAAAGAGTCACTCAATAGAATGACGAGCTTTCCTACAAACATTACACTCACTGGTCTTTCTCATTACAAATTTTCTGATGTCAACTAAGCTGTATAACATGATTAAAGTCCTTCACACAAATAATAGCAATGATGAAGATAACCAATGTTAAAACTGGATAATATCCACTAGGTCTTTACTGTATGTTAAGAACAGTTCCAACCATTTTACAATTCTTAATTCACTTAATCCTCACGGCAACCCAACACACACATTATTAGTATATATATTTACACATAAAAAATTATAAAGCAGCACTAATCATGGAAAGATTTGTATTACCTTTTAATTCTATTTTTCCACAAACTTTTAAAAGTACCCTCATACATGCATATTTGTGTGTGAACATGTATATATATATATAAATAGTTAAAAAAAAGTCTGGAAGGATAAATAACATTAATAAAAGTGATTACAATGAAGGGATTGGAACTGTTGGCAATATTTTATAAGGAGAAAATGTTCATTAGTTATTTCAGCATTAAATTTAAATGTTTTTAAAGAAAAACAAAAAAGCATAAAAACTTTTGTAATTTTTTGCAAAGCTTCAGATGGTACCATAATGCATGGCAGTAGTTAACAAAATGATAGTTGGCCACATTAAAGAATATTATGACACCATTATAAATAATGATAAAGATCTTTACTTACTGAAACAGTAATTGTGGTATATGTTAGAATAATAAAAATAGGTCTGATAGTATAGCATGCATATTATAATTACACTTTTAAAATAAAGTCTGGAAAGATTTGCTGTAACAATTTGAAAGTAGTCAGCTCTGGTTGGTAGGATTACAAATAATCCTAATTTTTTTCTTTGTGCTCCTCTGGTGTTCTTCTTTTTCTTTTTTTACAGTAAGAAAACATTAATTGTAGATAAGGAAAAAAGAAATGGAGTTGCCTTCAAAAATAAAATTACAATTCTGCCAGGAATTCACAGTCTATATAACACAATTTACAGTGTAGTAGTGGTGGAAGCACAGATCTGTAGATCACAGCAACAGAAAGATGGCCTTAAAACGTAAGCTAATATAAACACAAATATATTAAGGAGAACAAACAATGGGAGAGGAAGGAATTCCTAAGTACTTTTGAGATAGAATCAAATATATTTAACAGGTTATGTGTTTAAAAATTATAAATACATTATACAAAATAGTGCTAATAGAGTATTATGGGTTGAATTGTGTCCCCCAAAAGCATATGTTGAAATCCTAACCCCTGGTACCTGGCTAAGTACTTTTGAGATAGAATCAAATATATTTAACAGGTTATGTGTTTAAAAATTATAAATACATTATACAAAATAGTGCTAATAGGGTATTATGGGTTGAATTGTGTCCCCCAAAAGCATATGTTGAAATCCTAACCCCTGGTACCTGTGAATGTGGTCTATAAGGAAATAGGGCATTTGCAGATGTTATCAAGTTAAGATGAGGTCAATAGGTGACCCTAATCCAACGACTGGTGTGCATATGAGAGCAGGAGAGACACAGACATATATACAGGGAGAATGCAATGGGAACATGGAGGCAGACTGAAATGAAACAAGCCAAGGAATGCCAAGGAATCCTGGCTGTTATCAGAAGCTAGGAGAAAAACATAAAACAGATTCTCCCTCAGAGTCCTCAAAAGGAACTAACCGCTAACAACCTTGATTTTGGATTTCTAGGCTCTAAAACTGTGAGAGAATAAATTTCTGTTGTTTTAAGCCAAGTTATTGGTACTTGGTACTTTGTTATGGTAGCCCTAGAAAACTGATACACAGGAGAACTTCTGATCATTCATTTCCTGGTTTGTTTTCATTGTCAGTTTTTTAAAATATTATAAAAATTAACAAAAGGGCCTTGCTTTCTATTATTCACCCAGTATGAATTCCCTCATGGCGAACGAGGTCTGAGCGACTACCAAAGGCCTTTCCACATTCCTTACAGTCATAGGGTTTCTCACCAGTGTGGATCCTCTGATGTCTAGTAAGGTTTGAGCCTTTATTAAAGGCCTTCCCGCATTCATTACATTCATATGGTTTTTCATCTGTATGGATTCTCTGATGTTGAATAAGTTCTGAACTCTGAATAAAGGCCTTTCCACATTCTTTACATTCATAGAGTTTCTCACCAGCATGAATTCTGTGATGGTTAGTAAGTGTTGAGGCGCTACTAAAGGCCTTCCCACATTTCTTACATTCGTAAGGTTTCTCACCAGTATGCATTCTCTGATGCTGAATAAGCCTTGAGTGTTGAGTAAAGGCCTTCCCACATTCCTTACATTCATAAGGTTTCTCACCAGTATGAATTCTCAGATGTGGAAAAAGTTGTGAACTTTTAGTAAAGGCTTTTCCACATACTTTACATTCATAGGGTTTCTCACCAGTGTGAATTCTCTGATGATCATTAAGGTTTGAGCAATAATTAAAGGCTTTTCCACATTCCTTGCATTCATAGGGTTTCTCACCAGTGTGAATCCTTTGATGTTGAGAAAAGTAAGAACTACAACTAAAAGCCTTCCCACATTCCTTGCATTCGTAGGGTTTTTCGCCAGAGTGAATCCTCTGATGTCGAGTGACAAGTGAGCCACGACTAAAGGATTTTCCACACTCCTTACATTCATACGGTTTTTCACCAGAATGAATTCTCCGATGCTGAATACATCGTGAGTTCTGATTAAAGGTCTTTCCACATATCTTACACTCACAGGGTTTCTCTTCATTAATAGTTTTTTGATGTGTGGTAAAAAATGTGGGCTGGATAAAAGTGGGCCTGTCTTCACAGGTAAGTATTACTTGACTGAAATGTCTCTTCTTTAGAGATAATATCTTGGTCTCACACATTGATTGCAGATCTGAAAGAAAGTAAAAAAGCAAATATTCATTTTTCCTATTCTGGGGAATTTTCTTCTAAAAAGGAAATGAGAAGATTAAACTGAAAATAATATTTGGGAAAGTGAATGCTTAGACAGTTCTCAAATATGACTAAGCAATTTGTAAAATTGACAAGAAAAGCACAGACATTAAATAGAGGTAATAAAAGAAGCTGAGGAGGGTGGTGAGGGAAGTAGATGACCTCTATGATCCTTAAATTCTGGTACAGATCAGAATCTCCTGAAACCCAAGAGAATTCACACTGTTCAGGGCTATCCTCCATATATTATTACAGCAATTCTAATCATATACACATGCATGTAAACATGCTCACATGCACAGAGCATCATACTGTATGTTTTTCAATTTATGGATAATTATCAGACCTACATCAAAGGATATTGAGAAGGATGTGTTGAAATATGTAAATGGGGGTGGGTTCAGTGACTCTGTGCAAATGTACACTGTTAGCAAATTCACATGGGGAGAAAGCCTGCAGCAAGACTAAGATGCTGAACAAAACTGGCAGGAATGGTAGATAAATCTCTTCTGTGGATAGAACATGGTATGATTTGGAGATTCACTGAAAATTCTACCCTGGAATTCTGTGGCGCTGACCTTGGGAGAAAAAGAAATGGAAGCTTCAAGTCATGGCAGTGACTAAGAAGAGAGTTAGCTGAAGTTTGAGAAGAAGAGAGTAAAGATAAAAAGTACTGAGGAAATGGAGCAAGACTGCCAAACAGAGGTGTCTGGCACTCGTCCCCCCACCAAAAAAGAGAGACTAAAACAACAAACAATTATATTTTGACTGCAACAACTAAACAAATACACTGCAGACCACCAGCGGAATGAAAAAATCCTTGTGGGGCATGGAAGATGGGAACACCACCATAGAGAGCAGAGCAAGGAATCCATCTCTGCTTTGCTGCAGGGGCAGACTTGGAGTCAGGTGGAGAGAAAAACCTCCAAACGCCAACTATTTCCACTGCTGCCACAAACACCAGCAATCCCTTCCACAAGAGAGGCCCCCAGTCCTTTCAGGCCCCAAACTCAGAGAGTAGCTGCACAGCCTCAGAGTAAAAGCCCAGTGAGAGGAACCCCCCTCCTGCCCTAAATGGCTACAGCACAGTGCCATCTTGAAATTGAACCCATGGCCAGAGCTAGAGTACACAATGCCCTGGACCTGGTGAAACTGACTTCCTCCATCCTGAGGCCCCACCTACATTCTACCACATTCACACAGGTGCCAGCAAGACCACAACCCTGGCTGCCTGGACCCTCGGCCAGATGGAAAGACTGAGAACCCATCATCAGAACCCATATGGCACCCTCTTCTTCCACAGGTGAGCAGGTAGACCAGCTGAGCAGGGAAGCCAACAATAAGTGGGGACCACTGAGCCCACAGGTGTCATTAGGCATGATTGGTTAAATCACTAGCCATGTGATTGAACTCAATATCCAATCCTTCTTCCCTCCCTGAAGATCAGGGGGTGGGATTGGCTAAAAGTCCCTTCCCTCTAATCACAAGCTTTATCTTTCTTGCTTGGCCAACTCTTCCCAAACTATCTATGGGCCCACCATGAATCATTTGATTAGTCTAAACTCAGGTATGGACAAAAGGGACTCATTGTGAATAATGAAATACATTCCTATCTGGAAATCCCAAGGGCTTTTGAAACTCTGTGCCAGGAACCAGGAACAACAACCAGATACGTTCTTTATTTTATCACAAGTATGTATGTCTTCTGTTAATCCTTTGTCCTCATTTCATTACCCATGGCCACCCCTATGCCTGATGTTCTTGAGTCCAGATTCCCTCTGGATCCATTTTTCTAGATTTCTAGTATCCCCATTATGTTCCAGCACCTGGAGCGGTATTTGGTCTAGCTTGCTCTACTGAAAATCTAAACTCCTTGGTAATTACCAGTAAGTTCATACTAACATGGCTCTCCAACCTTGTCTTATACTCCACTTCCACTTGCTCAGAAAATCCCAGTCCTTCAAACATACCAAGTTCTTCCTCCCCCTCAGAGCCTTCCCACAGGAGTTTCCCCTTTTCTTGGTATTCCCCAACCCCCAACACTGTCATTGGCACTGCTAAATGCAGCTCATCATTTAGGCCTCTGCTCACATAGCATATTTCTAGGGAGGCTAAATTATGGTCTTCCTGTTAGTAGGCCCCAGATAACTGTGCTTTTTAATACCACTTATTATTTGTAATGTTATGTACATCCGCATAGATCTTAGAGGTAAAGAATGTTTGATATTTTCACCAATGGATACTCAGCTTTTGGCAAAATGCCTAAAACATATTAGATGCTCAATACATAATTTGTTGAATTACTGAGGCAATAAAATGTACTGTTAGATGTACTGTTCTCAAAAAAAAATTAAAAAAATATATAGTCAATTCTTGTTATTGACAGTAGTTATGTTCTATAAATTCACCATCTGTGTTTAGGAATGCTAGACAGCACTTTAGCACTATGCTTGGGGGCCATTTTAAACAATGAAATCACCAACAAAACAGACAAAATTGTGAAAAATGTGGCTCTAAGTAGACTGCAAAAAGGATACTTTACAGTACGTGAGCTAAAAGAAGGCAGAGCAACATCTCGTTTGACCTCAGCTGGAAAAGTGGGTTAGGAGACTCCAATTTTTTTTTTCCTTTTTGTCTTTTTTACTGACTGGCAACGGGATCGCAACCCTCGGTGTTGCGCCCGCACCACGCTCAGCCAGTGAGCGGGAACCGGTCTCCACATGGGATCCGAACCCTCGGTGGGAGCACCACTGTGCTCCCAAGCGGCGCACTCTCCAGTGCGCCACTGGGCCGGCCCGGAGACTCCAATTTTTTGCCTCTCTACATATGACCACAAAAGCTCTGTTGATATTGAATTTACTATTATAAATAAATTTTAGTACATAGATAAATTTGTAAATATGGAATCTATATGTAATGAGTATCAACTGTACTTTTAATTTTAAAAGGGATATAATTTCTGTTAAAAATGGCAGATTGCACATATGAGTTTACCACTACTTGTGAATCTACAGTAAAATTACATTAAAAGCTTAACAAAGGTTAAGACAAACCCCACTAGGACAAAGCATACTGGAGAAGAGGCAGTAGCAATAAAACTTGGAAACTGGAAAGCCAACAAATGGACTCCATCGGAAAGAGAAATTCAAATTCTGGCCTAGAGTGGGTGAATTCTATAGTACTAATTCATGGTACAGATCCCCACAAATGCATAAGAATTGCAGGCATCAGGCACTTCTCATAGTGACTTGAAAGCAGAAAATACTGAAAGCTGAAGAATGAGTTAAAAGATCATATGAGTGGTGAGACCCCAAGACCATCTCTTCTACTTCACAGAGAAGGATGATTATACTCCTCTACTCTCATGGAAAACTAGAAATCTAGAAAAATGGATCCAGAGGGAATCTGGACTCAAGAACATCAGGCATAGGGGTGGCCATGCGTAATGAAATGAGGACAAAGGATTAACAGAAGACATACATACTTGTGATAAAATAAAGAACATATCTGGTTGTTGTTCCCGGTTCCTGGCACAGAGTTTCAAAAGCCCTTGGGATTTCCAGATAGGAATGTATTTCATTATTCACAATGAGTCCCTTTTGTCCATACCTGAGTTTAGACTAATCAAATGATTCATGGTGGGCCCATAGATAGTTTGGGAAGAGTTGGCCAAGCAAGAAAGATAAAGCTTGTGATTAGAGGGAAGGGACTTTTAGCCAATCCCACCCCCTGATCTTCAGGGAGGGAAGAAGGATTGGATATTGAGTTCAATCACATGGCTAGTGATTTAACCAATCATGCCTAATGACACCTGTGGGCTCAGTGGTCCCCACTTATTGTTGGCTTCCCTGCTCAGCTGGTCTACCTGCTCACCTGTGGAAGAAGAGGGTGCCATATGGGTTCTGATGATGGGTTCTCAGTCTTTCCATCTGGCCGAGGGTCCAGGCAGCCAGGGTTGTGGTCTTGCTGGCACCTGTGTGAATGTGGTAGAATGTAGGTGGGGCCTCAGGATGGAGGAAGTCAGTTTCACCAGGTCCAGGGCATTGTGTACTCTAGCTCTGGCCATGGGTTCAATTTCAAGATGGCACTGTGCTGTAGCCATTTAGGGCAGGAGGGGGGTTCCTCTCACTGGGCTTTTACTCTGAGGCTGTGCAGCTACTCTCTGAGTTTGGGGCCTGAAAGGACTGGGGGCCTCTCTTGTGGAAGGGATTGCTGGTGTTTGTGGCAGCAGTGGAAATAGTTGGCGTTTGGAGGTTTTTCTCTCCACCTGACTCCAAGTCTGCCCCTGCAGCAAAGCAGAGATGGATTCCTTGCTCTGCTCTCTATGGTGGTGTTCCCATCTTCCATGCCCCACAAGGATTTTTTCATTCCGCTGGTGGTCTGCAGTGTATTTGTTTAGTTGTTGCAGTCAAAATATAATTGTTTGTTGTTTTAGTCTCTCTTTTTTGGTGGGGGGACGAGTGCCAGACACCTCTGTTTGGCAGTCTTGCTCCATTTCCTCAGTACTTTTTATCTTTACTCTCTTCTTCTCAAACTTCAGCTAACTCTCTTCTTAGTCACTGCCATGACTTGAAGCTTCCATTGAGGAAAGCAGACTGAAAAAACGACAAAGTATCTGTGAGGAAACAGTCAATGCAATGAACAGAAGAAAATGGCAAAGAAATATAATTACCTCAAAGATAAAAGATCTGGTATCCATTAAACTTTAATAAGGGGCCGGCCCGGTGGCGCACTGGAGAGTGTGCCGCTTGGGAGTGTGGCGGCACTCCCGGTGAGGGTTCGGATCCCATGTGGAGACCAGTTCCCGCTCACTGGCTGAGCGCGGTGCGGGCGCAACACCGAAGGTTGCGATCCCATTGCCGGTCCCCGGGACGGGCGCGACACCGAGGGTTGCGATCCCGTTACCCGTCAGTAAAAAAGACAAAAAGGAAAAAAAAAAAA